GCAACATGCAAACATGGGGAAATTTGACCTCTGTATTTAACCCATCCATGTGAACGGAGCACACACGGAACACAATCCACACAGTGACCACACACGGAACAGTGGGCAGACATGAAGGCGCCCGGGGAGCAATTGGGGGGTTCAGTGCCTTGCTCAAGGGCACCTCGGCCATGCCAACTTCCGTCCATGCTCGACTTGAACTGGCCACCCTCCGGTTCCCAAGCCAAGTCGCTATGGACTGAGCTACTGCCTCCCCTAAATAGACTGAACCAAGAAGTAACTCTGATGGTGACATTTAATCTGAAGAACCAGTTCTTACTTGACCCTTTATTGTCCACAGTTAAGAGTGAAAAAACAGTAGACATGATGAAGTTAAATCATTTTTTGTTTTTACTCTGTTGTTTACTTTTTGCAGTGAATCCTCTTAAAATTAAAATAAGACCAGTAAACTGTATTTACCTTCTTTGTTTACCATCGACATCAATTGGATGAAGAAGATGTCAATAATAATTCTTGGTGTATGGGCCACATTAGTAACTAAGAGTCAGCATAGTCAGGATTTGGCCTCTGCTGCTTCAGTTTTGATCATTTATTAGATTTGACGCAGCTTTTTAAAAGCATTATAAAGTATCACAGTTAATATTAAAAAGCCAATATCCATCCAGTTTGACAAAAAAACTAATAAAACATGATCTGTCCAAAACAAAAATGTCTGAGCCATAACATTTTCTGGAACTTTTCATTCCAGCCTCCTGGTAAAATGTCTGAGCCCATGTAGGAATACAGCATGAAAATCATTGGATAATTCAGAGAGTGGGTGGTTGTGTGTATGAAACGAGAAGAATAAAAGTATCTCAGGATAAAAATAAAAAAGATAGAATAAATGTAGAAGACACAAGAATTATGTCAACTTGGAAACAAGATTTCCGCAGAGGAATTCATACGTCAGGTCCTGTCTCCTGAATCCTCTATTCCAGACTCGACCCCTCGTCTGAAAGTTCCAGACATCTTCCTGTTGTTGTTGTGAACACATCTGACCCAGAGAATCTACTGCTGCGTTCTTCATATGTGAAAGACAAACCCCAGAAAATGTCCAGACCGAGATCTTCCAGATTTCATGTCTAAAACACTTTACTACATGTGTTTGACACGACTTTGCACGTACTACAATGATGCTGCGTTCAGGTGGTTGAGCAGCTCAACTATTAATAGTAGGGTTGTTGGTTTTATTCCTAGCACCTCTGGTACATGTGGAGAAGAGTAAGATGCCAGTGAGCTCAAGCTTCCAAAAAAAGTGAGATGCTTTAGATAGAGGTGTAAATTTAATGTAACACAGTCAGTGGTGTTGGCAGAAATGAAAGAGTCAGATCACATCACTCACCACAATTGTCCTCGTCACTGCCGTCAGAGCAGTCGGGTGCGTGGTCACACCTCCAGGCCTGGCGGATGCACTGCCCGTCTCCACACTGAAACTCGGAAGCTGCACATGTGTAAGAGGACTGTGGCTGAGGCTGGGTCGAACCACACAGCTCCGGGGTCTCATCCCGTCCGTCCTTGCAGTCGGTCCGTCCATCACACAGCTTGTCTCTGGCCAGGCAAACGTCAAACGGACCGCAGGAGAAGAGGCCAGCGGTGCAGTTCTGGCAGGAATCCTCATCGCTGCCATCGCCACAGTCGTCGACGCCGTTGCATAAGAAACGTGTAGATATGCAACGTCTGCTGCGGCATGTGAACTCATCTTTCTTACACCACACATGATCTGTGAAGACAGACAGGTACAGCATTAGTTTATCTACTAATACAACCCCCATAACTTTGACAAATGAGTTTGTGACATTTTCATGTTATACGGTCGATTAAATAATTACATTTTTACTCCAATTCAATTATTACCTTTGCCAAGGAGGTTAGCAGAACAATGCAAAAACAGATTACCACAGCACATGGTGGAAGGATGCATTATGGGTCAGGGAAGAAACCATTAAGATCTAGGAGTTTTTATTTCCAAACATTATAATAATATTATTAAAATTGTGAAATAGGATGTTTTTCAAGATTTCTCTCTTGGTGGAGGTGAACATTCTGCTGTGTAATTCAAGTTTTAAATGAGTAATTTCTGGCTCATATTGCTCTTAAGTAGTAACAGTTATCACAACAGGTGTTTCAACCTGGAGTCTAATCTGTCAGAGCTTAATGGGTTTAAATCTTTCAGCATTTTCCTGGCAGATAATCAAAGCAGCGACTTTCAGGTCTAAATCTCCAATCTGTAAGTAACACTCCCAGTATTCATTCCTTCAGCAACATTTAACTCACTGAACACATTAAATCCTTTAAAATATTTTTCCTCCGCAGGGTTTTTCTTGATGACTCAAAGGTTGTTCTGAACAGTAAGACGCTCTGGAATTTATCCCTAATGGAATCAACAGGAAATCAACACAACACCCAACTATGTGTGAATATTTTTAATCGCACAGAAACTTAAGTAGAACAATATGACAAACTATTGGGAATTATAATTTTTAAAAAAAAAAAACATTGCGCTCATAATGAATTTAAAACTGTGCAACTTTTTACTTTGAAAATCGCTAAGGTTCGATCTGTGCTGCCGGTGTGGACCTTTCTGTGTACTGTGTGTACTTTGGGGATAATATGTTAATTGTATGAATAGTGCGGTGCTTAAGATGGTGTCATCTTCATGCACATACACTCCATCATCACCTGTGTGTCGTTGTCAGAGTGGTACTCACTGCAGCGTTGTTCGTCGGAACCATCCTCACAGTCTGCACGTCCGTCACACAACGTCGACCTCGGGATGCACGAACCATCGCTGCACTTGAACTCCAGCTGCACGAGGCAGCCGGGCAGAGAGTGGCCTGCGGCACCTGACACACGTGCAAAGACACAGTTCACTATCAGAGTGTAATCACACAACATCAAGAAAAGGCTTCACACACGGTAATCCGGAGATGTGAAGCCTTCAGAAGAACGGCGGGGGGAAAACAACCAGAATCAATGATAAACGAGGAAGACAAATAAATGATGACTTTTTATTTACTGTCGTGTGCTGCCTGTCAGGAGAGACTGAAGATTAAATGTATTGTCATTGCAGCTTTTCTTCATTCAACCATGTGATGAAATATAATCTGTACAGCGCAGTCACAAGGTAGAATTTGCCTCATGGGGCTTCACTCATGTTTAAAAACATTTATGACGTAACACCACCAAAACTGCAAAAAAAGACTGATAATTACAACTTATATTGAAGCCTCTGCATTAACATTATCACGTGTGTGCACAGAAACTATTCAAGTCTAATGGTCTTCAGTCTCGCGGTGCAAACAGGGGGGCGCTCCTGTCCAAACTTCACTCTCGGTCCGAGGAGCCGCTTCCTCCAAACAACACGGGACATGAGGAGCATCGTTACCGCGGGAGTGATGCCACCGCACCGAGACGAGCAGAAGAAACCAGACTCCGAGGTGTCCCATGCTGAATGCGTCCTCCACACGGACTCTGTTTGGAAGGTCCTCCAACTCCACCTCCGATGCTGCCACTGAAACACACGCGGTCGCGGATATATGACGTCACAGACGCTCCTGTCGAAGTATAGGTATGTGAATGAAAACCTTTTACAAAAAGTATTTATTTCCTCACTACTTTAAACACTTAAAAAAAACTTAGTTTGTTTTAATGTACGAATTCATTAACAACAGTAGATCAGTTATATAAAAAAACATATGTATATATTAACAAGAAAAGAAAAGAGGGTGAGTAGAGCAGATGGTAACAATACAATTGTATAAATATTATATAGAAATATAGGCATATATATCACTTTGTACATTTTTTTTAATGAAAAACAAAAGTAACCGATAATCCGCATGTAAATATTGTTGAGAAAGTCATGAATTAGTTTGGATGCAGAGCAGCAGATGATGATTGTTTTATATTTTAGATATTAATTCATTTGAGTAGAAATCATAAAGGAGACATGGTGTGTGTTCTCTCTTTATTGTAGCTTCTGTGATTACAGATTGAAAAGCTCCACTAAAGTTAAATGTAACAATTAAAACTGTTAAAAAACAATATCACACCTCCACTGAACATATCCAGGACAATAGACCTGTGCTATATGAGCACCTTCTCTCTTTTGACCACATAAACGCTATTTATAATGATAGTGAGACTTTATACCATTAAAAACTTTAAAAAAAGATTTTTTTAACAACTAATAATATTCCCAACTGGCCTGCCACTTACAGATTTTCTATTAATATACCAAATGTCTCTGCCCCACCCCCTCAGCTATTTACATGACACTATTTTTTCAATCCCGTATTTTGGGACACTTCAAAAACTTGAAATGCAAACAGTGGGGGTGTCACCATGAACAAGAGTGAGGAGAAATATCTCTCAAGGATCTTATTATAAAGATATTTAATATGAGGTCCACACCTCTTTCAACCATACCCCTCAGAGAACTGTTGAGTCCTCCACTTTTCCACGGTGTTAGCACCCAGTATGCCCACACTATCTTTACATGGTGATAAGTCTACTTGCACAATTGGAACTGATGATTTAACATCCATTACATTTTTCTTTTCGGCTCATTATGCAAACAGAATAACCAGTTGGACAAAAAACGTAAACAAAGGACAGTTTATTCACACTTTCTATTGTACAGGATACAAACACCATGAGCTGTGGTTTAGGCCTCTACAGCAGCATTGGATGGAGAAATGAGGCTTTTGGTGCTGAAGGGATATCTCCTGCTGCTCAGAGGTACGGCTCGTCTGTGGAGAGTGGTGGGTCTTTATATACAGCACCCGGGGTAACTGGAGGCTTTGGGGCTTCAGCAACTTGGCTAGAAGAGATTTAACAAAATACATGTTCGATGATTCAGCTAAAACTGCAAATGGACATTTTCATAGAGGAGGGACAACAGACACTGTGGTTTCTCAGTGTTGGCAGCAGGATATAAAGGCTCATGTTAAAATACTTCAGAGTAATACATCTTGGGCAGAAAGCTCAAACTTATTGTTTGATTTAAAGCTCACGTCAGGGCAACACTGGCAGAGTGAGCAGCATGTTTTTGACACGGAAAGTCTTGCATTCCATTTTGGTGCTCATCTTATCAGGTCAGAGCGGCCACACTGTCTGCATGACATGCAGGCGTGTGAGCTGCGCTGCTCTTCTTCTTCAAGGTCTCGCCTATCATCTCTGTGTGCTGAAATCAGTTCACAGCACAATAGACAATGAAAATGATTTTTCACCACATGTTTGTCAAATATATCACAAAAATACATATTTGTAACACTTTGTTTACCCATTTCAAAGTAAAAGCACTCCAGCATTTCTATTGACTGAATCCATTCTTTCAGTTTAACAAGTATTTTTTGTTATTGTATTGATGACAGGCACAGCCATCATGTACTGCACATATGGCCAGTGTGGCCCAAGCTTCACTGCACCTCCACTTACTTCAACTATGACCATAACTACTATCTCATATATTCATGTAGTACCCACCTGACTTATATAAATGCATCCATTGTGTTGTGAGGGAAATTTTTTTTTTCTTGTTACCAGTCTGCAGTGATTAAGTTATTTACCTGCCAGCAGTGAGAGCCTTCTGTGATGACATGACGACTGTGGCAGGTACTGACAGTCTGCGTCCATCTCTGGTGAAGTAGTAGTTGCTGGCGTACTTGTGGCTCGGGCCAACAGGCAGTTTGGGCGGTGGCTGTGTCCTACAGAAAACAAAGTTCTTTCAAAGATGTAGCTACAGCAAATAAAAGAACTGGGGGAAAAAAATGCATATGAATGACATTTCATGTTTGGAAGCACAGGGTGAGGTGAGGGGTATTCAGCTTAAAATGCAACTTCACCACTAGATATCAATGAATTCTACACACAGGACCTTGAAATGTTGAGGTGGTAACGACGCTCTAAGAAGCAGAAGTCTTGATTTCTGATCTTTCATTGCTTTACATGCAGCAGTTGTGTCTTTTTCAAACCAGCGAAAAGCACAACGGTGTTTTTTTCTGACAATGCAGCCCCTGATTCACTTTCAACACAGGTATCGGAATTGATTAGCATCCGTTGGTTCTCCCGGGGTCAAGACCACAGCTGTCAGAGGGTCTTACCTCTTTGCAATCTCCTCATATCGCAGCTGGAGTTTGGTTTGCAGGTCCCGCTGAAAAAGTTTAAAAGTTATTTCATTAACAGAGCAGACTGATCGCAGGAACACTGTGCACAACCCTGCAGCTAGCTCCTCAATGCTACATGCTAACTAACAATGGCAGGTTAAATTATTCCCCCGCGGAGATAAGCCTGTGTCACATTAACACCACGTCTTGGCTTCAGTTTAAAGTCTGTTTCTTACCCCTGCTAAGAAATTTCGAAGCCTCTGGATGATTTTGGTGGCGGTCGCCATGTTTGCTGTTGTGAAGGTCATGGTGTTCTTCTGTGGTGTTGAGCGGAGTCTCTCAGCACGTCGCTGCCCCCCGGAGGATACAGAGGAGAACTGCAGCAATAGATGTGAATTAGTGACCAGGTCATTCACATCCTCAGCAGAG